AGTAGTAGTAGTAGTAGTAGTAGTAGTAGTAGTAGTAGTAGTAGTAGCAGGAGTAGTAGTAGTAGTAGTAGTAGTAGTAGTAGTAGGAGTAGCAGCAGTAGTAGTAGTAGTCGTGGTGGTGGTGGTAGTAGTAGTCTTACAATTAATATTCTCGTGTCCGTGTCTGTCCACTCAAGTGTCCAGCTTGGAATCTGGTACCGCCTGGGACTATAGATCTGAAGGGGACAGAGTCTAGCTCACACATCTCTCATCGAGGTCGATGCCTCAGATCTGCAGCCAATGGCACCACACCAGGGTGGATCGCGTTCGCCGTGACGGGGAGGCCCTTTGCACGACAACGTCGATCCAACTCCTCGGTACTGGTGGGTCAACCACCACGGTGGTGGTCCCTACAGAGCTTGTTTTGTTTTGCACATATCCTCCCCTGAGCGCTACTGGCTGAGTCAAATGGCAGGCAACCGACAAACTGTTGCCCAAACAGACTTTCGATTCATAGATGTTCGCCAATCCGACAACAAACATCAAAGTCCACGCATCCAGTCCAAACGAAACACCAAAGTACCCAAAGCCTTCCCCTCGCTTGCATGGAGATCTGGTCCGAAGTTCGTTGGACCGAACACCCACAGTGACGCTCTTCCAGAGGTACCTCCCAGCCTTTGCACAGCTGGAATGTTGAAGTCTTGGCACTTTTCAGCGAGAATCGTAAGCGAACATGAGGTTGGCCAACTTGGACTGGCCATAAGCACCCCAAGGTGTGTACCTCAAAGGCACCCGCAATCTGCTTCAACACTAAGTCTCTTTGCGCCAGGGCAGAATCGGCTTTGAAACTCTGCAACTCCTTACCCAGCTGCTCAAGTGTGTAGCAGTCAATGTGTCCGTCCCTTTCATGATTCCGATCGCTTCTGACACCTACAACAAGTAACAAGGGTCTATGATTATGATAATGTTCCAAAAGTTAAATGCGCCGTTCCTAAGGTTGATGCGACGGCCCTAAATACCTAGGTGCAGTGGGTGTTTGTTTTGACTTTTCCCATCAGCGTCACTCTTGTTCCGAGAACTGTTCACAGGGGGCTGGAGAGTGTGAATGCAACAACAACAACAACAACAACGAACAAAATGGTCAAAAGACTTTTCAGCGTGTGTATGCAATCCATACACCATGCTGTCAGAAGTAGCCCACCATTTGTCGATCGTTTCCATGCCATCCCATTTCTTCATCAGTCGAAGCACTCGTCGGATTGCAGGTTACCAAGGTCTCCCTTGAGGAGCTTGGACGGGATCCTCAGCGACGTTTGATCCATCAGCGCTTTGATCAGCTGAGTACTCGCCCAGTCAAGGTGGGTCATGCAGGTGTGATTCGTTGCGTGACTTAGAGAAACAGTTGATGTTGAAGCTACAACTTCTTGTTCACAAGAAACACATCAAAAGCCTGCTCTCGAAGTCTCAAAGTTTCACAACTCTGAAGCAGCTGATCCAAATGTCTTGCAACCCAGGGTGGTCTAGTGGAATGGCTCTGATGCCGGATGTAAACTACGGTAGGGCTTTTAAGTTCATTCAAGTGGAAGTCAACACACCTTCTCCGCTTCCAACTTGTTCCCAATCCAACCACGACCACTCCTGAGAAAGTAGACGTCGCAACTATGTGCAGCTCCCAGGTTGATAGCTTGGCAGAGACAACAAACATACGTCCTTCGACCCTTCGACATGCCCAACCTCTACCGGTGGTAAAAAACACTTGACATAGTAGTAACAAGTGCCACGCTAGTAGTAACAGGTGCCTTGCTAGTAGTAACAAGAAGCTAGTAGAAACAAGTGCCACGCTAGTAGTAACAGGTGCCTTACTAGTAGTAACAAGAAGCTAGTAGAAACAAGTGCCACGCTAGTAGTAACAGGTGCCTTACTAGTAGTAACAAGAAGCTATTAGAAACAAGTGCCACGCTAGGTTTCAAGATGTTCAGGCTAGTTCACTGATCCCCTCCGTCTTTCCAGGCCCACCGGGATGTGAAGGAATGGACATGCCTGGAGGAATCGGCCTTCTACCTTCTTCCACCTTTATATAGATTTTGAGAACCACGCGGTAGTACCGTGAAATCTCTTCACAACCGGGAAACCCCGCGGGCATCTCAAAGGCTTTGCAGCCTCAATCCCACCATATCAAGATTCAAGGGTTCTGATCTGCTTTGGGATATTGATGTCTACGCGCTAGAAGAATATCGATGCAATGAGCTTTAAAAATCCTGGTTGGGAACCCTCTGCCGAACTCTAGAGAGCCACGACAATTTGAGGTGTTCTCATATATACCGATTGGTTCTGAATGGGAGTTGAAAGCAATATAAGTGCTTTCTGCCAACTGCCATGAATTGGCTCGAGAACTGGGCCCAAAGGGATCGGGATATACCTCCATGCTCAACCAAAGCATCTGGTGAGCCGACGAGCTCAGAGAAATAACCTCAGCCACATCCACTAAAGTCATCTAAAGTCACTAACGCAGAAAGAACACCGACATACTGAAACACGAACCTCGTCACCTGCCAAACCCTCATGTGTTGTGTCTGCGTCATGACCGTCTCTTGTCGTCTCAATTGTCAGAGTACCGGAAGTGTCGCACAAAAAACCTCAAGTACGGGAACATGAAGAAGGTGTTCCGGTTTGCAAGGCCCTCACGCTGAGAGTTGTCACATCCACTTGCCCCCCAAAACAAAAAGGAATATAATAAATGATAAATCAGAATGATGAGAACAAATCACGAAGCAGCCATGCTTCAAACGCACACCAACAACAAGGATGATGGCAGCAAGTAGTGAGACCTTCACCATTCACTGATCCGATCATCTTCACTCATCTTTACTTCTCACTACTCAATCTTCTCGAGCTGGCAATGGTGCCCTCAAGGTCTGCCCAGCAGCTCTAGAAGGATCCGCACCACTGCCACTGGCAGCCAGCTTGTCCATCAGAAGGTTGGTCAAAAGGAAATGCCCCAAGTGATTCACTCCAAACCTCACTGACTCAAAATGCACTATGTCAAGTGATGGCCTTGACTTACCAGAATGGAACTTGTGCAATTTACAAAATGTGCAAAGTGAGGACAAACTCATCTCCCGGGAGCCTTCCGCTGGTTGCGGCCTATGCTTGCCCGACCATTCATCATACGTTAAAGGTCCCATGATCAAAAACATCTTCATTTCGTGCCCATGTCACCGTGCTCTGCAAACAGAGCTCGGTGTTTGGGTACCATTGTGTGCTTTCCAATCTTTCCAAAGCATAGCCAAGCAAACATGAAGACTTTGCATGGGGTGTCTTTCGTTGCTTTTCCCATGCCTGCGCAAGTTGAACGATACAGCACCCCGGTGGACAACCGGTTGAAGCACATATGATGATTGTCCTGTCTTGTGTTGTGCACATCTGCGCACTAGATAAGTTATATAGTTCTTGCTTGCTGAGCTGAGAACAAAAAGCCAGCTTCTAGCGTAGGCACCACGAATGCACATCCTTCGCTGAGAAACTGGTATTCATAGCCATCCTCCGTCTGCTTGCGCTCAGGCAAAGCCATCACACCAGCGTTCAGGATCAGGGTGTCAAGTTGCTGGCAAACCTCATCGAAAGACTCCTGCAGGTTGTCATCAGTGACTGATGACTGCTCTCTACGACTCGTATTAGAAAAAGCGAGGGTGCATCTGTGGCCTCTCTTCATGAAGTGCCTTGGAAGTACTCAGACCACTCGTCCGTGCTCTGAAATTTAATGTAACACCGTTGCAAACGGAAACCCTGCACTCGCAAAGCAAGAGCTGTCGTATCTTTCCCAGCTGTGCTGTCCCTCCGGTAGAATCGTAGCGGATAGGTGGCGCTTACATGCTTGGCCTAGTACAAGCAGTATAGATGAGGCAGAGATGTCTGGTTAGCTCAATGAGAAATGTGGAGATTGCATCCTTGAAGGACCTCACAGACTTCAAAGAAGCCAAATCTAGCGGCAAATATCTCAGCTCCACAGGCTGTGTGAGGTTGGGCATCTTCTCCCGCAAGCCCTGCACGGATTTCACGATGCAGTATACTAGTCTTCAGTTTCATTCAAACCTTCTTCTAAATGATGAAAGACGAAGACAATCCTCCTTCCAACAAGAGGGGTGAGGTTGTAAATGCCATTCGTTGCCATTCTGTAGCTACAACACCAAAAGTGTACCCCAAGGCATCTGCAAAATCACAAATTCACAAGGGGACAAATAGCCAGGACATCATCGATGATATTCAGGGTGAGGGGTCGGGGTCCCTATTTGGTAGTAAAAATCACTACAAAATGCCAGGACCCTAACTACAAAATGACAAACTTCCAGAGGGGACAAATTTGGGACCTGACACAAACATGACCGACATGACCTCCTACGAGCCCTCCGAAAAGTAGCAAATGCATTCTGTAGACCTGACAACTTGTTCAAGTCAGCACAGATCTTAAACCTGCATGGCAGCCCCCCTCAAACCATCATCATCTACAGTAAGTAGCCAAGATAAAGCCATGCCGCTGTCAAGAACCCACGAAACAGCAAACGTCTTCCCCATTTTTCCCCCCCATCTTCCCCTGCACATGTTTCTCTACAAAATGAAAGGAATTCTACAGAATGGGTCCCAGCGGGCCTAGAAACACCTCAAACAAGAATGCCAAAAGGGTCTGCAAAATCACATGTTTGTTCATCAGCATGCTGCGGGTACCTATCAGTCTACCCCTCTACAAAATGCAAAACTCCAATTCCCAGAACATGCAAAAAACGGTCTATCTCAGAGGTCAACCTGTCCCATTCTGTGGAGGCAATGTGCAGGATGAAACACTGCAATTTTTGGGCAACCTATGACAGAGGATTCCTCACCTCTATAGCATCCTGATGCTTTTGCAGGTCACGCCCGGCCATGATGATGGTGCTGTATCTTCCTATACCAAAAAGCGCAGCCAAGAATGTCTCAGATCATGTCCCATCGACACATTGCACCATACTGCAAAGCCCATTATCTTTGAAACCATCAAGAGCTTTGTCTCGGCCAAATCAAGCAACACGGCAAAGAGACCTGCACAGCCAACCCTTGTATGATCCCTGTACAAATGTAGTCCCGATCGTGTAGTCCCATGTAGTCCCGAGACATCGAGACATCAGCGATGCCCTTTGTTACTAGTAGCGATGCCCTTGTTGCTAGTAGCTTCTTGTTGCTAGTAGTAAGGCCAGGAGCTACTAGTAGCGTCCTGATGCCACCAAGCCCTCCACAGTGGCGAGGCCAATCCCAGTGGATGCGCCCGTGATCATCGCCACCTCATCGACATGCTCAGCCGGGTGTCGTTGTGTCATGGGGCCCAGGACCACGTCATGCCCATATCTCATGAGGCTTCGTAATGTTGTTGTCTGATTCATACTGCTTTTCTACAATAGCAGGAAAGGAATCATGGTCACCTTCAAGCTGTGTCGTCCTGCCTAGAATGCACCTAAAGTTCCTCAAGGGCTTAGCAGGATGAGGGATTTTTCAACAAGGATGGGTCTCACTAGCCAAGCAGCAACTGATTGGGACCCCTTGACCGCCCATGAAATGAGTGAGGTGAGTGCGGGTCAAAACCCGCAACCCACATGTTTACCACATAGACTTAAACGAACAGAATGCTGAGTATCTTTGGCTCACGTTCAGCTAGCTTTGGGGTGCTGATCTCTTGACCCACATCCACATGGTATTAATACGTTCTCAAGCATAGACCCAACTCAAAGGGTGTCAAGTCCACCGCCCCGTACCCCCCAAAGCCTTTCTTTGTGGCTCTGCGGCAGGACCTTGGACACGATGCGGGTGCGTTCTTCATCACCCCTCAAACCCTGCCTTTCCAGGCAATGACAACATCGAGCAGTCATGTATTGTGTGTACATCAATCGTTGGATTTTGATGGATCAAAACAGCTAAAGAAGACACACACTTGTGGCACCCCAAATCAAGAAGCTCACAAAGGGAGTTCCGACCTTGCGAACTGTTTCTGTCCGTGTTTTCCAACAATTTGAAAAGCTTCCAATCAACACCTCCAAATTCAACAGAGACGGTACAAACATTGTTGTTGAGGAACCTCCCACCACCATGGAGAAGGAAGTTGGCTCCACTTCCTGCCAGGGCAATGCTGCAAGTCTGAGCAACAACTAGCAACGCCACCTTTTGCAATGAGGCAATATGGAGATCGACAAGTTTGACCCCTTGGCCGCCCTAGGCCCTTGAACCCCTTGAAGCCCTTGACCCGCAAAACGTTACAGTTCAAAAGTCACTGGACTGTCAAATCAAGAGGCCACGCATGTTCCAGCAGCTGGTTTTGAGTCCCCCAAACCGTTGTGTGTCTCGTCAAGTCCCTACTCAAAAGCAGGCGCACAAATTAAGCGGATTGAGTTCTTCCGCTGCTTTTCGAAAAGCGAACAAACGGCAAACTCCGCACGTCTGGGAAATTCTGATCACATCAGCGATATCAGGTTAAATCGCGCACCCCTTGCCTCTGCTTCGAGTACCTCGCTCCGAACTCGAACCATCGTGAAGAAAACAGGAACTGGTTGCTTATCCCAAGAGTCCATTCAGATTCTGTTGCAACACTCAGCTGTACCATTTGGGTTTATGGCTGGCAAACCACTGTGTTAGACAGGTGCCCTCGCGACAGACTAGCTGCTGTGAATGGGATGCATAACAAGCATGAATAGCAACTGGGTGTATTAGCAACTAGGTGTACTAGCCACGGGGGTCATCCATGGTGTGACTCAAGAAATCAATGTACCTTCAGCTGATACATTCAGATACGTGTTGGATTGGCGCCCAACTGAGACAAGTCAAACAGTCAAACGCAAAAAGGCAGTGAAAGCATCTCTCACGCGTGCGAGGCCTAGATTCAAGATGCTAGTACCAAAGCAAACTATGAAGTCTCACTGCAGCGCTTGCAAACGCACCGCAGGGCTTTTTCAGTGCAACAAACATGAGAGGTCTCATGCATTAACTGGATCGTCATGCTCAATATTGTCATGAAGTACAGTTTGCTTCTGATGTTCCCCTCGCCGCTCGCGAACTAGTGAGGCTATGTGAGCATAGGAGACTAGGAAGTGTTTATGGGAACAACTCCTTGGAAAAACTTCTAAAATGACCTGTATTGGTATAAAAGACATTGATATAAATATATACAGTAGGTAGCTCAGCCTGAGTCTGGGTCATGTTAAAGACAATGTGTTCACATGCCCCCTGCCGAAATGCCAGAGTTCTGGTATTCAAACTTCATTCCCGGTTTCTGAAGAGTGCAATGTCACGAGAAAGCTAGGAGGACCCAAACAAGGACAACCATCTGAGAAGCTGTCACATGTCAATGTTTGATTCGGAAAAGCCCAAGAAAACATCTTTAAGGAACACTTGTCAACCCAGAACCGGTGCAAGCGTACAAACCCATGCTCGGCTTCTAAGGCCCTGGCGGGTTGCTTTGACGCATGCCGAAGGACACGGTTCGTGGCCGGGAGCCGCGTCCCGAGAAAGCCACAGCCACCCAGGAGGACGACAAAGGACAAGGGAGCTCGACGCACCTGTTAGAGGCAACGTGACGGAACGTGTGAAGCGATGATAAGAAAGTGCTTTTCTCTTTTTAGGGGGGGTAGGCAGCTAGTAGAAGAGGTGTAGCTAGCAGAAGTAGAATGGTAGCTAGTAGCTTAAGTAGCTACTACTGTAGCTACTGGACGCAGGATAGCTCACACTTCTTCAAGGAAGGTTCCAGGGGGAGCTTCCTTGAAGAAGCGCTCGTACTATTTCATTTGGCTCCTAGATTTTTAGGGAAACTGAAGCTAGCAATCTGCACCCTAAACGGAGATCTTGGACGTTCCTGACTGGAGTTGTTTCTGAATTTTGAGTTGAATGATGGTGCGTTTGGAAATCAAGGCAATTAGAAAACCAGGTGGAGGATGAAGTCGACATCTGAACATGGGCTTCTTCTACCCAGGCAGGGCTGCTGACCAACAACGCTGAAGCTGAATAGTTTGGTGCTCAGGTATCTTTCAATCAATGGTCATTGGAAAGGCAGAGTGTTCATCAACGCCAAAGCGCCAAAGCGCTGTTTTCAGCAGAAACAACTCCTATATACTCCTATGCAGTGTCTTGGGCGCCAGACTCGAGCCATGGCCGCGGGATGCCGCAGGCTACAGTTTGAGCCAAAAATGGGCCTTGAAGAGCCAGTGCTCATCCCGGGGGCATTATTGATCCTTTTATGTTGGACTGACCGAAAGCCTCACAGGAATTTGTGCACACAGTGCACACCAACCAAGGCTCCAGCGAAACGCGGATCAGTATGTCTGAATTGTGCGCAATTATCCCACTTGCCTTGTGCGATGAATGAAGAGGAAACTATATAATACAATAAATAAATATATATATATACATATAGCATCCGATGTCAATGCATTTGGAGTCATACACCTTGATTTGTCAAAGCAAGTGTTGCGGTCTTTACAGTCCTGCTCTGGCTCCCATAAAGTAGCGGAAACCAGGACACTGTGCACAGAATTTATACAGCAGCCAGTGGCCAGGACACTGAATTTGCATCACGGATGGCACATCCTACGTCTTTGCACACCCTTAGATTCACAACCATGAGTCTCGAGTAACAATCAAGGTCCACCCTACCCTTAGTTACACCTTTGTTCTTGTCTCACAATACCAGAAATCAGCTTGGGTCGTCAATCAGCAGTTTGGCACACGGGGCCTGGGCCTCCGCATGGGACAACTGGATGAGTAGCCCAAAGACCTGAGCTGGCTGAGCGGTCTCGCATGTCGGCTGCTTCCAATGCAATTCAGAGCAACTTAGCTCTTTGGGCAGTGATACATCCACCAGATGTTCAAATGTTGTGGAAGTGAACCCCTTGGGAGAGTATGTAACAGTGTACTTGATACGTCATGTATTGACTCACCTGGGTGTTGGTTGAACACCGTATATAGACATCTTCAGTGCACCGAACCTTCAAAGTTCCTCCAGGCCAGCAGGACCCCGTCTAAAAGCCTATATGAATGCCTATTATCGGTTCACGGTCACATTGCTGGCGTGATGGTGTTGCCTGAAGAGACCTCAACCTGGCAGAATAGAATAAGACCTTCTGAATAGCTCTGCAGCTGTCCTTGACGCAGTCTGCACCTTCCAACCGGCTGTGTCTGCTACATGGCCAAAATCATGCGTCTGATTAGTTTCACCTGTGCGGAAATCTCTGTGTGTGAACAGAATGGGATGATCTGGCACCACACTGGAGAGTAGATTTAGATAGAGCGAATTTCCTTCTTTGGAGGGTTCACCTGGTGAACTTCCTCTAGCTTACGAGCCTGGAAGCTAATTCTTAGAGTCCTAAGTCTTGTTGCTTCAAGCTCTCAGCATGCTGCTACCAACACAGCTGCCACCGACATCGACGAGGTCATGGAAAGCCAGCGCTGATCCTGGGCCGCTCACCGGCGGAGGCCCAGAGCAAACGTGATGCGATTGAATCGCGTGTCGGGGTCTTTCCGGAGCGCTGATGAGGTATGATGGGGCATGATCTATATCTTGCTGACTCATGGAGATTCTAGACTCAGGACGATGTTCAGGATGCCCTGAGAGTCCCAAAGGAGCATTGACACGCACATCCAAACAGAAGAAACTCCTAGCTCAAGCACCAATCAATCAGCGTTTCCGCAGGTCCTGAAGTGCTTCGGAAACAACCGAAGGTGCAGGACACCACAAACTGCCCTACGATGTTAGTTCTTCTTTCTTCTTTGGTGTGCTTGGGACATCAAAGTAGCCGGAGCCTGTCGCTTGGGAGTCCCTAGCAGAACAGGCTAAGCAACCCTTCATGAGCCTCGCCTTTAGTGTGCATGCTCAAGGGCACTTATTGTAATTCAGATAAATCTGAATCGCACAGACTCATACCGTAGTTTCTTGGCATGGGCGGAATAAGCATGTACAGCAAATGATGCCTATTCTTGTTTCTCGAGCATGCTTAGCTCCAAACCAAGAAGCACAAAGGCAGAACCTGTCCACTCAGATGGCACGGGGGTGGATCTGGACGGAGGAAGCCAACCTGACTTAAAAAGATCTTTAAAGGCTGCCAAGCAGATTCTTTTGCACTTGGATTTCTTTTGAGAAAATTTAATTCGGAGAGCGGCTGGTCAGTTGGAGCGGCATTCCTAGAAAGACTGCAGAACTACTAAAAGGATCTAAAAGGATCCCCTCAAAGTGCCAATGAAAGACCACATTTTATAGTGGAATGTGAGGCAGTGGATTCAGCACACACACAACAAACAGGGAGTCAATCTTGAACGTGTGGCTCGCGAATTTCAACATGATGATCATGATGCACGGATTTCCCGTAAGTAATTTGCACTATCGGGAGAGCGGCAAGCGCAGGTGAGTGAACATATGGAAACGTGATGCAGTCTTGAGCAGCAAACCCAATTGGCAAAACTGCTGCTGTTCAACCAAAAGCGGTGATAAGGGCACACCGCACATCTGGATGAACAAAGGACACACTTTGCTGGCCAGAATCAACAAACCGTTCCACCCAATAACAATCATTTATTACCAAGAAAGAAAGCGATTTCCCTTGCCCTGCTGCGGGAGACGTCTTCTCCCAATTCCCACCAGCACGGAGGACAAGGCTTTCAATCGCCAGGACTGGAGATGTAGTAAGGGGCCTCCACAGTCAGCCTGAACGAAGACAAAGCCAAGCCACTTTGTGTAGCACGCAAAGCGAAAAGAAAAACCCTTCAGAAGTTCAGGATCATTCTAACGATGTTTTACCGGGCTTTTGCTCACAAGGTAGCAATGTGGCCTTTGCATCCATTTCACACCAGTCCCAGCACTAGTTGCCGCCCATGACATGAGAACTTTAACTTTACGAAGGGACAGCCTCTTTACACATCTAATCTACTGGTTCGCCGCAGTCAATGCGAGTCAAGGAAGCACAAACTTTCCTTGTTCATCGAGGCTTATTGCGTTTGTGTTTGTGTATGTGTGATCTGTGTGTGTGTCCATCCCCTGGACAAGCATAACCTTTGCATCCTGTTGCTGAGCTGGAGGCAATAACGATCACATAGGAGACAAGGCAGAAAAAGCCCCCAACCCTCAGATCGGCTCATAGGAACACGGAAGACTCGGAACCCCTGCCTTTGGTCTTAGGATGTCTTGAAAAGCTTCCACATGAGGAAGTTTTTGATGCTTTGTCACCAATTGTTTCATTAAGGAAGCCATTCTGAAGGAACGTTTATTTCTTTCAACTTGTGTGCAACTGAAGCGCTCCTTTTTCAGCGG